CACACACACACACACACACACACACACACACACACACACACACACACCTGTAGCTCAGAGGGTGACCCTCAGGTATCTCTTTCCTTCTTCATTCTCTACCTTATATATTGAGTTAGAGTCTCACACCTGAACCCAGAACTTGCCTCTTTGACGAGTCCACCTAGCCAGTTTGCTCTGGGCACCCCATCTCAGGCCCTGAGAGCTAGGACTGCATGCCAACCACCGGGCCCACTCACCTCATCTGCATAGGCCCTGCGGATATGAATCCCAGACAAGTGCGTTATCTGCCGAGCTATGATCCCAGCCCAGAATCTGCTTTTCATAATACCCTCCAAATAATTTTTAAAAACACAATCCTAAGGGCAAAATATAATAATAAAAACATAGGTTGAGCAGGCTGTGGTGGTACAAGTCTCTAATCCCAGCTTTGAATAATGACACTCTAGAAGCTTAGGAGATGGAATTTAAGGCCAGCTAGGGATGTACCAGACGGAAGGAAACCCTGTCGACCACTCCTCCCTCCAAAAGAAAAAAAAAAAAAAAACAATATGAATGTTTATTTCAGTTGGGTATTATTATTATTGTTGTTGTTGTTATTTTCTGAGACAGGATTTCTCTGTGGAGCCCTGGCTGTCCTAAAACTCACTCTGTAGATTTGGCTGGCCTCAAACTCAGAGGTCTTCCTGCCTCTGCCTCCTGAGTGCTGAAATTAAAGGCGTGTGCCCCCATGCTCAGCTATTAGGTGAATATTATTATAATTTGACATATAAGGAAAAAGGATAAGTGACATGCTACTTGCTTCTTGTGAGTGAAGTGACTGGCTAGAGAATGTATCACCCTAGCTTAAGTACCACATCACCAGAAAATTATAGTTTCAAAGGAATTATTTTTGATCTAATGTTAGTTAATAAAAGACAAAACCATGGTATGCTATCATCACTGCTTTGTATAATATATGGGCTAGATGAAAACGGAGAATGCAATGAAAACAGGTTATTATATCAAAGATGCCAGACCATGGCTTATTTTTAAAATTACTCATACAAATATAAATTTATTTTGAATAAGTCAGTAGCTTGATAGCACACTGATGAACAAATGCCATCTGGTAGGTCCCTACGCTTTTCACACTGAAATGCTCATTAAATGTCTGCTCCATCAGGGCAGTGGTGACGCACACCTGTGAGCCCAGCACTTGGGAGGCAGCAGCAGGTGGATCTCTTGAGTCTGAGGCCTGCCTGGTCTACAAAGTGAGTTCCAGGACAGCAAGACTACACAGAGAAACGCTGTCTCAAAAAAACAAAACAAAGAAACAAGTCTGTTCCACTGGGTGTGTTGCTACATGCCTCTAACCCCAGCACTCCAGATGCAGGACAGCTGGCTCTCTGTGAGTAAGAGGCCAGCCTTCACAGAAAGTTCCAGGCCAGGGCTACATGGTGAGACCCCTAGCTCAAAAAAGAATTCCTTCACATTTTTTTAATATAGAAAAGGTATAAGGATAACAAAGACATGGTCCTTGACCTAAAATATCCACAGTAAAACCCAGGAAAGGGCTTCTAAAATTCTGTAGGGTGCTGGAGAGGTGGCTCAGCAGTTATGAGCACTGGCTGCTCTTCCAGAGGTCTAGGGTTCAATTCCCAGAAACCACATGGTGGCTTTTAATTGTCTCTACCTCCTGATCCAGGTTTCTGATGCCCTCTTCTGGGCCTCCTTAGGCACCAGACACTCACGTGGTACACAGACACAGGCAAAACACCTGCACATGTGAAATAATACAATTTAAGAATAAGTAAATACAAAGCTAAAAATAATACTGCAGCTATGGTCCTTAGTGTTCACCAAATTGTCTTAAGAAAGACCTGTGTCACACAAAAACTGTCATGTGCATACTTATTCAAGATTTATTCACAAACACAAAACATTGGAAACCTCCAAGGTTTATCTGAGTAGTTGAATAAAGTGTGGTATAACTGGTTAAAAAAATAAGTAAATAATAACTAAATAAACAAACTTCTGGGGTAGGATACTGGCTTGGGCACACCAGGGGTCATGAGCACACTCCCAGTAACTTTCCTGTTCATCCGGCAGAAATCACTGGAACTTGGAACTTGAGAAACAGAGAACAGCTCAGGAAGAGGAGAGCTGAAGCACAGGAAAAGCAGTCACAATGGCTCGTCGGGTAGGTTCCTGCCCCGAGAGAGGGATGAGCATGGATGCCACACACCCATGCTCTTGCTCACACCATCCTCCCAGGACCCCTCTACATCATTTGGCATTGTGCCTGTAGTGTTTGTTTGTTTGTTTTAAAAGTAAGGTCCAATGGGTTAACCCCTGTCTAACATCATAGCAGTAGAGCCACGACAGCAGAAATGTCCCTGCTTTCTTTCTGTTTCCACCAGTCCCCAAAGCGGGCTCCAGTCATTGAAGGATGCCTTCCCGGACCATCTGGTCTAACTCTTGCTACCCTTTATTGGTTTTGCTGATGTTAAAAAGGTTCACAAGGCCTGACTTGGGAGTGCATACAAATAATGCCAGCACTCAAGAGAGTGGTGTTGGAAGATTGTGAATTTCATGCCTTAGTGAGAATGCATATTGAAACGGAAAAACTGTGACTCTATTGCCTGCTTTTTGGGACCCTTTTCCTCCTACTGGATTTCCTTGTCCAGCCTTGATATGAGGGTGTGAGTATAGTCTTATTATAGCTTGTTATCCTTTGTTCGGTTGGGAGACCTGCTCTCTTCTGAAGGGAAACAGGAGGAGTGGATGTGGAGAAGAGGGGAGCTGGGGGAGGAGCTGGGAGGAGTGATGGGAGGGAAACTGTGGTCTGGATGGCTCAACAGTCAAGAGCACTGCTCCCAGCATCCACGTTGCATAGACGCTCACGCAAACAAAATGATTGTGACATTAAACTTAGAGCAGGGGGACCTGGCCTGATAAGCAAAAATGACCAGACCAGCCTGATGTCCCCAACTTCCTAGTCATTGTCCTTGGGAATTTTACTGAACATCTTAGTGCCCCTCAACTTTGTCCTCTGCAAAATGGAGATAATACCATCCACCTCATAGTCTGAGGTAACAGAAGTAAATCAGAACAGTGCAGAGACATAGGAAGGACTGGAGATGCCTCCTACAGTAATACCGTAGTTCTAATGTGAGCTGTGCTTGTGATTCATTTACCTAAGTTGTATGTAGTTCTTACAGCCACCACACAAAATTGGAAGGTATTATTTATCTCATTTTACTTATAACGCAGCCAGGAAACGGAGAGGTTGAATGACCTGACCCAGTCACAAACTTTAGGCCACTCGGATACTTTTGGATCTTTAAAACAAATTTAAAATTTTATTTTATGTGTATGAGTGTTTTGTTTGTATGTGCAGACATATTCTTAACCACTGAACCACATCTCTGGTCTTGATTATCATTAATTAGAGAGAGAAAGAATTACAGCGTGCATGGGTGAGGATCGGAGCACAGCTTTCAGCAGTCGGTTCTTTACCTCCACCATGTGGGTCCCAGTGATGAACCAGGCTTGGAGCAAGTTCCTTTACCCGCTTAGCCATCTCACTGGCTCTGTTTTGTTTTAAAAAAGATCTGTTACTATTGATTTTTAAAGTGTGTGTGCGCGCGCGCGCGCACGCGCACATGAGGCAGAGGTGCACAGGATCCCTCTGGAGCTGGAGTTAGAGGCAGTTGCGAGTTGTCCCGTTGGTGTTGGGAACCAAATTCGCATCTCTGGCAAAAGCAGTATGTACTTTTTAACTATTAAGTTATCTCTCCAGCCTCACAGGGTTTTATTCTATAGCCTAACCTGGCCTGGAGTGCACAGCAATCCTCCTGCCTCTGCTTCTCAAACTCTGTGACTTCAGGTGTGAGCCATCGTGCCTTGTACCATCTTCTCTTTAAGCAGGACACTTGGCAGGAAAGGAATATTTTATATCATGAATTGTGGCCAGCTAGGTGGCCCAGTCCATTCGAGTGCTTAGCCACAAATCTGATACCCTGAGTTTGAGCCTCAGAACCTACATGGTGGAAGGAGAGAGCCAACTTCTGTAAACTGTACTCTGAACTACGCACGCACGCACGCACTGCAGTACGTGTACTGCTCCCACCCATCACGTAAATAAATGCAAGGGGAAAAAATAAGAAGAATTATGACTCGACCAAGTTAGGCCCAGTGGTGCACATCTACAATCCGGTGGTGGGTGGGGACATATGGGTTTCCTACTGTAGCCCAGGCTAGCCTGGAACTCAAGGCATTTCCTCTTCACTTTGTAGAACACTGTGCTTGCGGGTAAGTGTCACCACAGCCACAACCCAGGACATCTAGGGGAAGCGCTGTCCATTCATAAAGGGCATTTTCAGACAAACTCTGTTTTGTCTTTCTGAGGCAGGGCTTCACAGCCCTGGCTGTCCTGGAACTTGCTCTGTTGAGCAGGCTGGCCTCAAACTCGGAGATCTACCGGCCTCTGCCTCCTGAATGCGGGGATGGAAGGTGTGTGCCACCACCGCCAGGGTTTTTAAACGTTATATTTTCAGTTAAATTTTCTTTGTTTCGTGTGTGACCGTGTGGGAGTATCCATGCATGTGGAAGTCAGAGGACAACTTGTGGGAGTCGGTTCTCCCCTCCCACCATATGCATCCTGGGAATGAATTCAGGTCGTTAGGCTTGGCAGTAAGCGCTGATCGACCTCCTCGGTCCTAATTAAAATTTTTTAATTAGCTTGCCAAGCAGCAGGTTTCCATAGGCCTTTTCATAATCCTTAGTTTGGGTTAACACACTCCTTCCCTCTTATAAATGTGTGTGTGTGTGTGTGTGTGTGTGTGTGTGTGTGTGTGTGTGTGT